AAAAGAGAGGAAGATGAGAAAAGAATGGAAGGAAGAAAGAAAGAGGAAGAGAGAAAAAGAGAAAGAAAAAAGGAAGAAAAGGAAAAAGAAGCTAGAAAAGAAAGGTTAGTACATTTTTATTTTATTTTTAGATTTCTTATAAAATTGCATAAATAATTGCTAAAAATATGCACAACAATAATTCATATATATGTATATATATAAGTAATTTTTTGTTATTGGTTCATTATAAAAATATATATTTTAAAAGATTGGAGAGAGAACGAAAACGGCAGAAGAAAAAAAAAGAAGAAACAGAAGTCATGAGTTTTGAAGAGGAAGAGTCCGAGGAGGAAGAAAAAGAAAGAAAAAAAAGAAAAGGACAAAACTTAAAAGAAAGAAATAAAAGATATTGTTTTATTTGTACAATTATAAAATTAATTCGTATTTTATTAAATAATTGCTTTTATTCTAACGTTTTTTGTAGTTACTATTTATCAAGAGCGCGGAGAGGAAGAGATTGGCGAGGAGGAGAATGGAGAGGAGGAGAATGGAGAGGAGGAGGATGGAGAGGAGGAAGATGGAGAGGAGGAGGAAGGAGAGGAGGAGGATGGAGAGGAGGAAGATGGAGAGGAGGATCGAGACGTAGCTGGGATATGGGGCGCACTAGGCCCGGATCGGATCCTGTTTTTATTTTTAATTATTAATTTTTAATATAATATAATTTTTAATATAATATAATTTTTAATATAATATATAAAAAAGTTAAAATAATAAAAAATAAATGTATTTAAAAAATATATCTATGTAACATTTTATTTACTTTTACTATATTAATAGTATATTTATTATGCGCAATAATTAATATGTGCAATAAACGCGATAAAGACAGAATATACAGGGTGTCCCAAAAATTTTGACACAGCGGCCGTATGCCGGTAGAGCAGACCAAACTGAACCAAAAAGTCCTCTACCATTTTACAATTTTTACAAGGGTTAAAGAGATATTAATTATTAAAGATTACCGAATGCGAACGCACGGCTGAGATACGACCGCCTACAGACTACGGTCGCTAGGCGCGCGGCGTGCGGTAAGCGGCGAGCGACAAGCGGCGAGCGGGGAGCGGCAAGCGGGGAGCGGCAAGCG